GAACTCATGCGTTACTCCTCCTTCTTCTTCATCATCCAATCCCAGCCCACGAACAGGTCCTGTCGACTCTTCAGAATGTCTCCGCAGTGGCCCTGCTTCTCTCAGTCTCAACGGGCCCGTCCCTAGTCCATCCTTTCTCGCATCTAGACTCCTGTTGTAGCTCCCTGAGCATGTTCCTGTGACCCTCTTCGCCCCAGCAAAACCCACTCTCCACTTAACAGCCAATAGGAACCTTAGAACGAATGTTAATAGCGTTCTTGAGATAGAAGTCACATACCATTCACATTGCCCATTTGAAATGCTCAGCCCCGTGGTTTTTAGCTTACTAATAGGGCCGTGTGGCCATCACCACAATCCATTTTAGAACATTCTCATCCCCCCAAAAAGAAACTCTGCTCATGAGCAGTCACTCCCCGTCCACCCCCACCCCTCCAACCCCACCAGCCTCAGTCAGCCACTAATACCCTTTCAGCTCCGTGGATTTGCCTTCTCTGGGTGTTTCATACAGTTGGGGTCCTATAATGTGTGTCTTTTGTGACTGGTTTCTTTAACTCAGCATAATGTTTTCAAGATTCATCTATATTGTAGCACATGTTAGTGTTTTTATTTCCAAATAGTATTCCATTGATTGGATTAATACCACATTTATTTATTAATTCATCAGGTGCTGGATGCTTGGGTTGTTTCCACTTCTTAGTCTTTGTGGGTAACGATGCCATGAACATTCGTGTACGAGTTTTTGTGTGCATATGTATTTTTATTTTTCTTGAGTGTGTACTCAGGAGGGCAATTTCTGGATCATATGATGATTCTATGCCTAACTTTTTGAGGAACTGTCAAACTGTTTTCCAAAGTAGCTGCACCATTTAAAATGCCCTGTAGGACTGTGGTTCCAATCTGCCCACGTCCTCACCGCCTCTTGCTATTCTAGTCATCCTCGTGGATGTAAAATCATAGCTCATTATGGCTTTAAACAAAATTTTTAAAGATTGTATTTATTTATTTTAGAGAGGGGGAAGGGAGGGAGAAAGAGAGGGAGAGAAATATCAATGTGTGGTTGCCTCTTGCACACCCCCTACTGGGGGCCTGGCCCACAACCCAGACATGTGCCCTAGCTGGGAATCAAATGGCAACCTTTTGGTTCACAGGCCCATATTCAATCCGCTGAGCCACACCAGCCATGGCTCTTCACTTTCTTGATAGTATCCTTGGAACCACAAAAATTTCTAACTTTGGTAAAGTCTAATTTATTTATTTTTTATTATCTTTCATGTGATTAGGTGTCATACCTAAGGTGGTTTTTGTCTAATCCAAGGTTACAAAAATTTACTTCTGTATTTTCTTTTTTTTTAGATTGCCTTTATTTGTTTTTATTTGTTTATTTGTTTATTTATTTTTAGAGAGACAGGAAGGGAGGGAGAGAGAGAAGCATCAGTGTGTGGTTGCCTCTCACGCTCCCTCCACTGTGGGTGGGGAGGGGGCACGTGGTCCACAACCCAGGCATGTGCCCTGACTGGAAATTGAACCAGTGACCCTTTGGCTTGCAGGCTGGCACTCAATCCACTGAGCCACACCAGCCAGAGCTATTTATTTAATTTTAGAGAAACATCAATGTGTGGTTGCCTCTTGCACGCCCCTTACTGGGGACCTGGCCTACAACACAGGCATGTGCTTGGGAATTAAACCCACAACCCTTTGGTTCATAGGCTGGTGTTCAATCCACTGAGCCACACCAGTGAGGGCTACTTCTGTATTTTCTTCTAAGAATTGTATATTTTTAGCTCTTATACTTAAGTCTATGATTTGAGTTAGTTTTATATATGGTGTGAGGTAGAGATCCACCTTCATTTTTTTTCCATGTGGAGATTCAGTTGTCCCAACACCATTTGTTAAAGAGACTGGTCTTCCCCCATTACATCGTCCTGGCACCACTGTCAAAAACTAGTTGACTGCAAACGTGAGGGTTTATTTCTGGGCAGCATGAACCTTTAAAACACTCACACTTGCGGAGGGGGGGCAGAGTTGGTGATTGGAAGGGAGTGTAAGGGGGCTTCTGCGGTCCTGAAAATGTTCTGTTTCTCGAGCTGAGTTCTGGTCACAAAGGTGTGTTTAGTGTGTGAAAACTCACTATGCGCTTAAGATCACAGACTTTTCTTTTTGTATATTACACTGCAATAAAAAGTTCTTTTTTCAAGAAGTTTATTGGCTGTGCCTTTATTCAGTGTACCGGTTATTGTTGCTTTGTAACAAGCCACCCCAAGTCACTCATATAAAATAAGCATTTCCTTGTGCTCACAGATCGTGTGGGTCAGGAACTCAAAGGCAGCGCATTAGAGACGGTTCCATGATGCCTGGGGCCTCAGCTGGGAAGACTCAAAGGGTAGAGATGACGCAACAGCTGGGGCTGAGACCAGCAGGAAGTGTCTTCGTGTGTCTGGTGGGTTGTCCTGGTAATTGGCTTCGATCTCAGCTGGTTTGCTGCCTGGCACATCTCCACACGTTCTCTCCATGTTGTCTCACACCCCGGGGTCATTTGGGCTTCCTCACGGCATGGCTGCGGGGTCGTGAGCGCAAGTGTGCCAAAGGAACCAGGCGGAAGCTATGCTGGCTTTTATGACCCAGCCTCAGAAGTCACACAATGACACTTTTGCCACAGTCTGCCATGATTCAAATGGAGGGACATACACCTTCATTTGAATGTCACAGTATCGTTGTTGGAAGACCATATGAGATGGGTGATACTGTCACAGCCACTTTTGTTAAAAGAGTTTATTTACTTTTAGAGGTGGGAGAGGGAGGGGGAAAAACATCAATGTGCAAGAAATACATCGATCAGTTGCCACTCGCACTCCCCCAACCAGGGACATGGCTGGCAACCCAGCCATGTGCCCTGTCTGGGAATCAAATGAGTGACCCTTTGGTTCGTAGGCCGGCACTCAATCCACTGAGCCACACCAGCCAGGGCAATCATGGTCATTTTTGGAAAACAAAACCTGTTATTCTTGGACACCTGAGCACTACTAGAAAGAAAAAGTAACAGAAAAATTAATCAATTTATGATTCCAATTTCAACCGAATCCTTGACACCACTTGGCAATCCTACATCATTTCTGTGATGAGCTTGCTTCAACTTGGCAATGGTTATTTCAAACCTTTTCTGCTGTAGTAGACACTATGTATGTCTCACTTGACACCCATTCCTAACGGCTTTTTCCCTGCCCCTGTCTATGGGTGTCCTTTAAGGAGGGGAGAAAAGCTAAACACTCACTTTCCTAGCCTTTTTTGCATGAACGTGACACAGTCCTGGCCAGTGAGAGGTAAGCAGAAACCTACTGGGGCACTCCTGGGCAAGTTCTCGACTTGAACAAGAAAACGATGCCTGCAGTGGAGGGAGGCAGCCAGCCATCCCGAGACCCTCTGCTCCTCCACCTTCCCTCTTTTTCTGCACAGATGGCCTTCCTCCATCCATTACAGAGAAAAGTCCTCAGCTGGTCATTGTCTGACTTTCCTGCCACCTAACCTACCTGTTACGGGAAGAGACCTTGTTCTTGCCAACGACATAAAGAATTACAGATGAGCAAATCTATCAGTGTGCAAGCAGGGTGTATTGGTGATACGTTTTCATGGAAGAGAATCAGCTTTGTCACAGTAGGGAGGGGAAGGCATAGGTTCAGGGCAAAGCTGGGTAAGCACAGCATTTGGCCAGGGTGGCCAGAGAGCTGAGAGCGCCAAACCCATCCCCCCACGCCCCAGTCCTTTGTTCTGAGGACCTAACGTAATTGGCGGTAGGAGGGGCGAGGGGGTTTACATATTGATTGACAGGTAAAGGTGGTGCCAGCTTTGGGAGGCGGGGCATGAGTACCCAAAAGTGTTAATGGGCCTCTTCCTTTGGGCCCTGGGAGCCCTTTCCCACCTTTCAGGCGTTGGGATGAAAGCATAGTTTCAAAGGTTTTCTTTCCCAGAGAGTGGAGACGATGCATAGAATTTCAAGGGCTTCCCTCCCTCCTGCCTTTATTTCCCCTCTGGCTGCTCATTCTAAGGCGTCATACCTACTTCGCAGCTTCCATGCCATGGTATTTCCTCCTCCCCTTCCATCAGAAGAGGGATCCCTACTCCACGGATTGGGGAGAAGGGGTTAAATAGGGAGATGCCAACTTGCATCCATTTTATCTTCCTCCTTCTGTCTTGGTTTTCTGACTCGTCTTCATTTTCTGGGCCTCTAACACTCACCAGTTATGTGGCCTTAAACAAGCCATTCAAGTGGCAAATTATTTTGTCCAGCGGACTTAAGCCCAGGGAATGCACGGCACTAGGTGCTGGGGTATGCCAGGGCGAAGAGAGCGACAACCGAGGTAGAGAGAAAACTCTCTACAAGGCAGGGGCGCGGGGCCGTGTTGGAACTGAAAGCCGCATTGTGGCTGCGAGGGCAGAGGGTAGGGCCGGCTCAGAGGCGGGGCTGGAGCCGGGAGCCGGGTGGCAGAGCGAGTGGGATTCAAGGGACCAGGCAAGCTAATGATTTCGGTTTTAACCTTAAATCATCAGGAAGTGAATTAACCTCTCTGAGCCTCAACCTACTTCAGAAAATAGGTCTTAGAACTATTTCCTTAGTTGTCAGTCTCCTGTACTTGCTTTCAAGTTCCTTAAGGGCAAAGACCTGTGTTTTTTACGCATCTTTGTCTCCAATATGGTAGGCACTTAATAAATGCTTATTGGATGAATAAAAGATACTGTGGAGTCCTCCACAGACTTCAGGTATTCAATCGATCAATCGATACTCTTTCCCATTCCTCCCCTCCTTCCTCTTTCCTCGCCCAACCTCCCACACCTCTCCCACACCCACTCCGATACTCGTCTGGTCCTCTGGCTTCCCGCCTCCCCTCCCGGCCCCGCCCCTCCGCCGCGTCGCGACAGCGGAGAGGGCCAGGCGGGCTTTACGGCAGTCGCGTTGCGGCGGGGCGGGGCGCTGGGCGGCTGGCGCGCTTGGCGGCAGCGGTGGGAGGCCGGCCGGCAGGCAGGCAGACGGAGTCGGAGGAGGGTGGCGGCGGCTGTGCTCGCTGGTGAGGGCGGGAGGGAGTGAGTCACTGAGCGTGTGTGAGGGAGGGAAGGAGCGAGCGATCGCGCCCGCACCCTGCGCCGGCTGTCTGCAGCACCAGCCAGGCCCTGCCGCTGCCCGCAGCCCTGCGCCGAGGCCGGGCCGAGCCGAACCGAGCTGGGTCGGGCCCGGGCCATGCTGCTCACCGTGTACTGTGTGCGGAGGGACCTCTCCGAGGTGACCTTTTCCCTCCAGGTCGACGCTGACTTCGAGCTGCACAACTTCCGCGCGCTGTGCGAGCTCGAGTCCGGCATCCCCGCAGCCGAGAGCCAGGTACGCCGGGCGGCGAGCGGGGCCTCCCTCCGGAGCTAGCCCTCCCGCCTCGGGGCCTCATGCCCTTCCTTGCTCCTGGTGAAGAATTGGGGGCGGGGGAGCAGGATGGCCGTTTCTCAGCTCGCCCCCGCATCCGGGAGGGAGCTGGAATCGGTGGCTGCCCCCACACACGCCCAGCGTGGGGTGGGGTGCGGTGCTAGGGGAGGGAGCGGAGAACCTGACCTCAGATGCACCCGCTGCAGCCTGAGGGGCGCGTGGACTGTTGGGCGGCCCGCCCTACCTCTTGGTTCTTTGGCCCATTCTCCCTTAATGTCCCCAGTCTGGGGTGCCGTCGTGGACCTAAGAAGAAGCCCTGGGTTTCCGAGAGTTCAGACACCCTGCTTCCCCAACCAGAAATACCAGTTTGGATCGCTGGTGGAGAGGTGTTCATGGGCACTTTTGGAACGGGTTCCTGCTCAAGTAAACGCAGTTTACCTTTAAACATACAGATTTGCGCTCTAAGTGAAGGAAGAAGTTTGAGACTTGGCACTACCTTGTTTTGAGGCCTTTGGAAATGCTCTTTTTTCCCTTTTCCGCACCACCTTGGTTTCTGGTTAAATTCTTTCAAAAAAGAAAAGCAGTTATTAGTGCAATTCAAAGTATTTGTCTCTCTGTTTTCTAAACTGGTAGGAGGCCAAAACCCCTCTTTCTTTCAGGTCACAAGTGAGAGTTTCGGTCAGTTCAAAGCTCAGTGCTTTACGAGGATATTTGCTTTAAAATGGCCTGCTATCTTCTCAGGGTGGTTTGCTTGTCTCCCTTCCCTACCCTGCTGGGTAGGAGTTCTGCTCTTGCGTTAAATACGCTAAGTAATTTATTCTCAAAATGCTTTGGGGCTGCCACCAAACAGATTTGGTAACAATGACGCCGTGGCCTTCACACTAACATTTAAATCCTGGCTTGATAAGCAGCTTGTGGAGGACGTGGTTTAAATATCAAGAAAATTAAAGTGGTTCTCAAGGGCCCCAGAACGCAAATCGTGATTTCCTACTGCAGTTATGAAATAGTTCCAAAAACTATTACCCAACTACAGCTGGATTGGTATTTTCTTCAGAAGTGATTATGATTCCTTTACACTGCGTGAACTTTAGAACTTTGGCATAAAGCTGATATCAAGAAAATGTATTTCAGGGCGGCACAGTGTCACTCAAATATGCAAGTCTGGCAAAAGCTATAAAGAAATTGGTAAAAGAGATTTTTTTGCAACTTCTATAAAAAACTAATCCACTCCCAGTCAGGGCACATGCCTGGGTTGCAGGCCATGGCCCCCAGCAACCGCACATTGATGCTTCTCTCTCTCTCTCCCCCTCCCTTCCCTCTCTAAAAATAAATAAATTTTAAAAACTCATTAAAAACTAATCCACAAAAAATACTCAGGAACCATTCCTGTCAATCTCTCAAGCTAGGAAAGGACAGTTTAAATAGGAAAATTCACTCTTAAATTTTGTTCAGATTTTTTTTAATTAACATTTATCCTTCTTAATACCTTCTTTCACTTCTACCCACCCCTTCCCCACCTAACTCTTAATTAACATTTTGTTCAAAGATTTTATTTATTGTTTAGAGAGAGGGGAAAGGAGGGAGAAAGAGAAGGGGAGGGACATCTGGGTGTGAGAGGAACACTCATCAGCTGCCCCACACACGGCAACCCGGGTCCTGGCCTTCAGTCCAGGCTTGTGCCTTGACTGGGAATTGAACCAGCAACTTTTGGGATGGTAGGCTGGTGCTTAACCCACTGAGTCACACCAGCCAGGACTATTACATTTTTGAAGGTGGTTTTTCTCTCATTGTTTTCTTCCCTCTGGCTGTCATATTGCCCTGGTTATAATCACCAGCTGGTAGGGGAAATAAAAATTAAAATGTAAACTGATTTTGTTGCTTTTAGGGCTTGGGAGAAGACAGATGTAACAGACAAGATTGAAAAGGATGTCAGATTGAAAAACAGTTAATTGTATGGTCAAAGCAGGCACTGTCCTCTGTCAGCTCAGAATATTAGGGATACCTTATCAGTTGGAAAGCTAGGCTCACCCCAAATTCTTACTCACTGGGTCAGCATTTTGGCATTTACTGCTATCCCAAGCCAAATTAGCATATGGAAACCTGGGCTTCAACCAGCGTTAAGCCTGTATTACAGAGCTGTAAACAACTCCTGTTTTTCAAGTTTGTTCTGTTGGCTCTGTTGTAACCTAACACAGTCTCTATTTTAAGATATCTGGTGGTCGGTTGCCTTTCGGTGGCTAGCCCATCGGGCAGGAACAGGATCCACCCTAGACACTTGAGTCACTTCCTTTCACCAGATCATAATAAACATCATTATAGTTTTTGCACGCAAATAGATCATCTTCACTCACTTGGGTTCCCCCCAACCTTTGCTTCCCAGGGTTGTCCCTCATTACTCATCTTCCCTTCCTCCCTCTCGTTAGTTCTCCTGGCCTCCTTGCCGCTTGTCATTTACCCTGTCCATTCTCATCCTTCACTTCCGTTTCTAAAGGGAAAAAAATACATATGTATATATTTTAATTTTATTATCATTTTTAATGTTCCTGGCTATTTTTTCCTATCACTGTGTCCAGACCGCTGGTCCCCAAACTTTCTCAGTCATGTATCCCTCTGAGTAAAATGTTTTGATACATGCATCTTTGTGATGTATATCAAATGTTAGGTATACAAACTAATGTGTGCATTATATGTGTGTATGTTACATGTATGTGGCTAAACATCAGTTACATATACCTGAAGTAATACTTTATGTATGTTAAAAACAGGCACAGAATAGAATTTAGGGAAGGACAAACATAAACGGAAATTCTAATATTTTCTCTTTCTACCTCCTTAAAGTGTCATCTTTCATCTTGCCTTGAGGGTCACTGGTTCAGAATTCAGGCTTTCACAACAGCATTAATTGTGCATAAGCATAAACTTGGGAGAGGTGTTAATTTTTAACATCTCTGGTCTGGTCATAGTAGTTATAATCCAGTGATACCAAATTCAGAATAGAAACCATCTCTACCTTGTACATGTGATTAAAGCTGGGCTTGTTCCATCTTTTAATACAAGTGCAGGCTTGGAAGCCAGGGATGGCTTTGTTTGATGCTTTGGTGCAGCCTTGGCTGGGCAAACCTCCAACCGTTATCAGAACTTAGCTTTACTTTAATGTTCTTGTGATTTTGAAACATTGTTATAATTTACTGCTGTACATGGCATGTGGTAAAGAGGGTGCAGAATACATAAGGACTCTCAAATGAAAGACATTTAAGTGCCAGGTAACAGCAGTAACTGTATGATCCTGGAAATGTAGCTCTGCATATAGCACGCTTTATGGCCTGTAAAACACTACACCAGTGGAAACTGAAATTTTCTATTATAGTTGGTTTTGATATGTTTATTTTTGCAGGTAGTTTTCATGTTTTTTTTTCCTAATAAGTACTGTACTCATTATAGAAAACGTGTAACATAAAGAACACAATTACTTATGATCTCATAGCTCAGATAACTGCAATTTACCATTTAGTGTATTTTTTATAATCTCCTGTTCCCTTTATATACTCAAAATGTGTCTTTTAAACACGATGGCCCGAACTGTATAGGCAGTTTCATGTCTGCAGTAACTGTTGCCAAGCTACCTTCAGAAGCATCGTAAAAAGTCAGGCTATCGCGTGAGACAGTGTATGTGGATCACTGGGCATATAGTGGGCTTTCAATTCATGCTAGATATTATCGTGAAGCCATTCAGATGTGATTCCAAGCGTTTTGTGGCCGGTGTATGGTCCTTTATGCTAGAAATAATGTTATGATTTCTGTTGATTGAAGGCGCTCATTTAGAGACCAAAAAACATTTGACATCATTCTTAAAGGTCCTGGAGTTGGATGAATTAGATTATTGTTAACCGTTGATTAAGATTAGAATCCATCTCTAGGGCGCCCCCTGGCGTGAGCGCCAGCAGCTGTGCCACTTCTGCAGATTGAGACCCGTCCTTGCACGAGTGGCCCTGCTGTGTGTGTGTTCTTACAACCGCCACAGCTTGCATTTTGAGCGTGGTGGGTAGCCTTTGAGGTGGGTGTTAAGAGTGGTGGAATGCCTCACCACCGCCATTCCCAAAACTCATGGTGTTCTGGCTGGTAAAAGTTTGAAGCCATGGTCTGCTGGATACTCATGTTAAGTTAGAAAATTGTTCCAGTTTGTTCTGGGATTTAAGATGCAAAATAATTGCCTTTCTTAGACTCTTAAACCTATTTTAACAAAGGTATTAGTTCTTCCCGGCAGTGACAGTTTCGTCTAAGTTTTTGTTTATTTCATCTGTGTCCTTGGATTAAAGTGGAATGTACCTGCCACTTTGTCGCCGTCAAGAATGTCTGCTCCTCACCTACATTCTCCAGTCTAGTATTTTTAGGAAGTCGAAGCAGAGAGCAGTATTCCCTATTTCATACACATGTTTGATGTTAGTGCCTACCTGGATCTTAACAATTTTATTGTTAGATCAGGCTGCCCTCCTTTAAAAAAAAATATACACTGTCTCCTGAGGGCAGGCTGCTGGCTGAACAGGGGAGTGGGGTGCGGAACCTGTGGAACAGGAGTCCGAGCAGTGAGGAGTTGGCCGTGTTCCTTCTTCGTGCTCAGGGCAGGGGGCGCTGCTGGGATTCCCCGGTGACTGGAGGCCCGTCTGGTGACGGGTGGCTCACTAGCTCTTGTTGAGGTCACCCAGCTAGTTTACCAGGCCACTCTAGACCCATGTTTGGAAACGATGAGTGTGGCACTGGGGAAGGGTCTGGGCTGCGAAGCACCTCCCACCCCGTGGTTCCTCTCCTTCTTCTCCTCTCAGTAGCTGGGTAGCTTCAGGTCACTCTCCCTGTCCATGAAATGGGACAAATGATGCTTGCCTCTTAAGGTGATTATAAGACTTAAATGAAAGGATATGACGATTAAGAGGGCGAGAAAGAACTTACTGCAGCGATTTTCAACCAGTGTGCTGCCAGCTTTTAAATGTTTGCAACACCTGACTGTTGATCGAGTCAGGGGCACTGACCTCTCTTCATTGTCAAATTAAAATATGACAGCAGCCAACATGATAATCTCCTGGTGTGAGCGAATCAAAATTTTACTTTTTTTTTTTTTTTTTTGGTCAACCAGCCAAAAATTATTTTCTAGTGTGCCACAGAATTTTAGTAACTAGTTTCTGTGTGCCATGAGATGGAAAAGGCTGAAAGTCACCAGGCTTCTGTGATGCCGGCTCTTCGTAGAAGCTCTCAGCGGTAGCTCGCTGCGCTGGCTGTTGCAATAAAGGCTTTCCATGTGGTGGTCCCAGCCTACAGGGAATTCAGTGACCCGGTGGGTAGGAGCGCTCTGATTCTCCAGGTTTCGATTTCTTGGTGGAGATTAATAAATGTTCTCTTACAAGTACAGTTAGACTATGTTGACTGGTTGTGTATCTCTAACATACTGATCGTTGAACTTCCGAGCCTGCACAGTTAAGAAGTGGGCCTTAGACCACGGGTACCTTCGCCGTGGTGGCTTCACCGTGTCGGCGCCACCTTGCAAGAGCTGCCTGCGTGGCATCGCTGTCGGCCGGCCCCTTCTTTCCTGCTGCACTCCTCCACCTGTGACGTGTCCCTTCAAATTTAGGGGGTTGTCCACGCAGTCCAACAAGTTATGAAATGATACTTGGGTTGTACTGCACACAATCCGTGTGGATTCTGGCGTATTTTTTTGTGTGTGTGTCTGTTTTTGATGCTAGTGTATTTTTGCTCTGAGATATATACACATAAATAAGTTAACGTGAATGGGTTGATAGTGACAATTGCAATTTATTGTAACATGTTCTCAATTTGCAGGTGAGGGAAAGAGCTAACAATACTTTTCTAGTCCTGTGTAGAGAACTTTTAAAGGATAATTGGAACTTCAAACTCTGTGCATCCATTTTTTTGCTCATCCCCAGAACTTCTTATTTTGGAGAGAACTAAATTCAGTTTCCTGTTAGCTCTGCTCCTTATTTCACTGCAAATTCTGAGCACAGATGTGACAGATCATTTTTTTCCTGTTTAAACCTAGTTTAAATCCTGCGTTCTTCCGGCTCTGCTTCATGCAGTCTTAACTACGAAGAGTTATGAGGCCGTGCGAGGAAGCGTTGTAAAGTGGTAGTGTGGCGGAAGGACCCGGGGGAGACAGCTGTAATGGTTACCCAGCCCCGGCGCTTGCTTCACGAGTGGGAACTGTGAAGCCTGCAGCGGCGGCGTGAACGGGGGCCCTGTCAGAGCCAGGGCGGAACTCGGGTCCCTCAGTTTGCAGGTGGCCTGGTGAAGAGCGGATGGTTGGGAAGGGAACCTTTCAAAGCCCGAGTTTGCTCTGCACACCCCTCTGGAAGGTGGTGACGCAGGGAGGGTTTCGTCCCCGCACGGCGAACTTACAGCATGTGCTTTCCGCGCGGTCCTGTCCGTTCCAGAGAGGGTTGTTTCACCTGTTTTTATGCACCCGGGCTTTCTTCAGTGTTTGATTACGCATCGAAAAATATATTTTTATCGGTAGTACATCCCTGTTCCTTTTTTCCGTCTGTGTTTAATTGTTCTTTTCGGCACGCCCTCCACTTTCACCTTCCACACGTGAACACGAGTGATGCAGCTGGGGGGGTTCAAAAAAAAATAATGCAGGAAGGGCGGTCTTGGGGAATCTTTTAGACTTGCTAGTGTGCCAGGTCATTTAAAAATGAACACACTGGGATACAATGTACAGTGTAGTAACTAAAGTTAATACTGTATCATATGTTTCAAAGTTACTAAGATAGTGACTCTTAAAAGTTCTCATTAGAAGAAAAATGTGTAACCGAGGTGATGGGTGTTAACCAAACCTGCTGGGATAATCATTGTGCAAAATGCACATACATCAAGCCATCATGTCGTATAGCTAAAATTAATAGAGGTTTGAGGTCAGTTCTGTCCACTACAGCTGGGGGGCGGGGGAGTGGAAATGTTATTTAACGCTGCTGTAGTCTGCACACCCAGAGTAAATCGTTCCCATTTCCCTCCCTGCTCAAAGTGAAGTCTGAAGTTACATCCACTACGTTCATAGATTCATTCACCCTTTAGCTCAACAAATGGTGGGGTGTTCCCTACCTAACAGTCCCTGTTCTAGGCATTTGAGAAATGGCAAGCAGAGCAGAGTTCTTGTCCTCAAGTAGTGGGGGCAGGAGGACAAGAAAGAAAACAAATGCACGTGTTCAGTGCAGGTGATTAGAAAAGGCGAGGCAGCGTTTGGTCGGAGATCTGAGAACGACTGGCAAAGGAGCATTCCTCAGGTAGAGAGGAGAGCAGGTGGGGCGGAGCTGACACCTGAGAAAGGGCAGTGGTGGGAGGTCAGGTCAGAGAGGGGGCGAGGAGGGCTCTGGCTTTTATTCCAGGTGCCATGGGAAGCCGCGGGAGGGTTCCGAGCAGGAAGGAACAGCCATTATCTGATGAAGAAGAAAACTGGTCTGTCTTCTCTCCACGGTGCTGCTCAGTGCCTTGTCTTGATCTGTCTTTTCTGGTTGTAGATTGTCTACGCTGAGAGACCTCTCACCGACAACCACAGGTCACTGGCTTCTTACGGCTTGAAAGATGGAGACGTGGTGATTTTACGACAGAAGGGGACCGCAGACCCTCGGCCTTCGGTGCAGTTTCCAAGTAAGACACCGCAAAATGGGCTGGCATCCCCCGACACGCACACACACCAGATGGCGTAGCGGAGTGGGTCAGAGTCTGGGGTTAGCTTTGGGTGCAGACCCCTGGAGTTGATAGAACAATGCATGTAAAACCTCCAGCACATGGCAAGCCCTCTGGCGAATGTCAGCTTCTGTTCCATCAGGGATGACTTTGTCGCTGGGAAGGACTCGAGAGGAGGCTCCGTGTGCCTGAGGCCTGATGCCTGGCTGGCATTCGCTGCGTGGCATCTGGGGCTTAGCGCCAGGCCTTTTGCAGTCAGCGGGGTGCTTGCGTGTGGTCTCGTAACTCAGGTGTGGGGGTAGAGGTTCCTCTTTGCAACTCCCTGTCGTTAACAGGTGAAAGTCTGATTTTTAATAATGTCTTCCAAGTTACATAGCCAGTAAGGGAAGGCCTTGGAGTTGAAACGTTGTGCTTTTTCCATTACACTGAGCTTTATGAACATTAAGCAGCTAGACCACCAATTTGTGGTTCTTTCTCACCAGCTTCGTGAATCATGTAAAAAGAAACTTAATTACCTTAGATGCTCCAGCCAGAGTAGGAATGTATAGTCTGGGGTCTGCAGTGGGACTTAGGGTATGTCTGTGTCCCTGAGATAAGCCGAGTGGCGTGAGTGTGGGCGTCTGATGGGGACAGGTTCGCAGCTGAGACACTCAAAGGGGTTTATGATCTGCTGAAGTTTGTAAGGTTCTGATACGGAACTGCTTGACGAAATGCATGTTTTTATCCATTCCCTATCACACCGTGAGAGACTTCTTTAAAACCGTGTTCAGTCTCTAGGTCACTTGGTTTTAAACTTGGCGCTAACATCTGACAGGTGTCCAGGTGATGGCGGTCTCGAGCTTAGAACACAGTGGCTCCATTCAGCCTGCAACTGGGGCTGGAAGGGGTCAGCGAGCAGCGGCCCCCCCAGATTTGGGTTACGTTACTCCCCGGGGGCTGTGGTTCAACCTCAGAAATGGCAGTGGTTCAAGTAATGCCAGTCAACACACGCGAAATCTGTCTCTGATTCGTTTGGCGAGACTGGTAGTTGTGGGGACCTGCTGTTCATGTCTGTCTGTTTCGTTTCTCCCGTGCTGTCCTGTACGGACAAGAGAGCCAGCAGGTGGGGGAAAGGTTGGGATCTCGTCTGTGAGATGGACAAGTGTTCAAAATAATTCTGAATGGACGGGTTCTCAAGATAAGTTAAACAGGGTTGGAGGTGAAATTTCTCAGCCCACAAAGGCGGCTTGCCCATAACACGATTCGCTGATTGGCATAGTTTACCTCCCAAAGACCGTGCCAATCGCTTCCCCCTTTGCTGGTTGGAAGCTCACACGTGTGCCTGCACTGCCAGCTGCCACCAAGGTCTGTCTGAAGAAGGTGCCTGGGTGAACTTGGGCCGAGGGGCAGACACCTCAATGTCCGAGTGGAAGCATTTCCTCCTTCCGTTCAGGGTCCAGAAGGCTTCAGGGCGGCCCCAGACTTGGACAGGTGTGACCGTCGAGCAGGTTTTGGGGTCGGAGAAATGAGGGTTCATTCCGTGCTAGCCCCACACTCTGGCTCTACTTCTCTTTTCTTCTTCCTTTTTAAAAATAAAACTTTTTAGGGATAGCTTTACTGAGATCACATGCTGTACGCCTCACTCATGGAAAGGACACACTTCGATGGTTTTTCGTGCATGCACAGTTGCACAGCTGTCACTGCAGTCGGTTCCGGCACATTTCATCCCTTTACCCAGAAACCCTGTCGTTGCTCATCCGCCTCCGAGCCCCGAGCCCTGTCAGTCCCCTCTCTGTCTTCTGTGTGCTCTCCTGTCCTGGACATCTCATACGAGCGGAGCCATACAGCCTTTGGGTCCTGTGTGTGAGGCCCCTTCACCATGCTCTCATCCTAATGAAGCCAGCTGGGCCTGCAGTGTAGGGCCTGGGGGGGTGGGCCCAGCACCGAGAGCCTGTGCAGGTTCCTTCTCTCCCGTTTTCTCTCCTGGGAAGTGACTGCACCCGGGGCGCCCTGGGGCTCCGAGCGGAGCCTGCAGTGATGCACGGGTGGAAGCGTGAGCTCGAAGAATTAGTATGCGTGGCACAGATGTGTAGAGTGTAGCACCTAACATGTATGCCATTCACTCCATATGTGTACTGGTCTTTCTCCACAAGGTGTCAGGGCTCTTTGAAGCACATGTCAAAGCAGACCAGGATTTTTCTTAAGGAAAATCCATGTTTTTGTAGTTACATTGGAGACTGGCTTTAATTTTTCAAAAACAAAAATAAGCGAAAACATCTGTCCTGTGATACTTTATAATAAGCCAGGAAGTTGGGGTTACTACGTAGCCTGCTCTCCCTCCTCACTTCTGTGTTTTTTCCTACCTGTTCACTTCCAGGCTGCAATCTTTATGTTCAAAGCCAACACGAGAATCTCAAGCCAAGGGAGGGGGCGTTAGAGCGGCAGCGATGGCCACTTACCACGGTCACATACCATGTATGAGCACATGTTCTGCTGTTTCCCTCAGATGCTTGCTTTTATGGATCACTTGAAGTAAACGATCGATTTTCCCCAACAGACCTGCCCCGCATAGACTTTCGTAGTATAGCTGTGCCTGGCACATCGAGCTCCCGGCAGCGGCAGCCACCAGGAGCACAGCAGCCCCACTCGTCCCCCGGAGACCTAGCTTCATCTCCCCAGGGCCTGGACAACCCGGCCTTGCTCCGAGACATGCTGCTGGCCAACCCCCACGAGCTGTCCTTGTTGAAGGAGCGCAACCCGCCCCTGGCAGATGCCTTGCTCAGTGGAGACCTTGGTAAGCGGACTCTGGAGGGCCGTGGGGCTGGCCCGAGGTGCAGTAGTTGTATGGCAGCAAACGTGGAGGAGACGCGCGCGCGACGGGAGCGTTCAGCCCCGCGAGCCGTGGTTTGTGGGGCGTGTCGGTTGGTCCAGGAGGTGAGTTAGTGCCAATGGCAGGGGCCGAGTCAGTCCACGGCTGGGGCGGAGTCTCAGGGCCGCACAGAGAGAGGTCTCGGGTGCAGCCACACCACCCCTTCCGTTCACAGTTTTTTCCTAATTATGTTAGCAGCGCATAACCCAGGTACTGACATGTTAACCTGTTTAGTGAGGCCTTTAATTAAAGAGAGCACCGGTAAACCTGCTGGTGCATTCGGTCACGGGAAACAGGCCCAGCACCTTCAGCTGGTAGGGCAGAGCAGAACCCCACGCCCTCATCCACCCCTAGTTTAACAAAAGATGAGTTATTACCCAAGGTTATTTTCTTTCAGTTAACAGAACGCTTGTTTTTCATCATCTTGATGAATAACGTTTTCTCTGTAAATTTTTCTAATTTTACTTGGGTTTATGAAACCATTGATTAAATTTAAAAACATAACATACTTAAAGCATTCCTCAGTAACCATTTTGTAAATCAAGATAATATTTACCTACAGAGAAATACACATACTTTCTGAATAGGGTTCGTCAGGTTTCGGCTAGCTCATGTTTCCACCGCCCCAGTGAGGTTCTAGAACGTCTCTGTCCAGAACTCCGTTAGGTTTCCTCCGGCCAGTCTCCTCCCCTCGCAGGCTGCCGCTCTTCTGGTGATCACGGTTCTGCCTGTCTTCGGCCCTCGTGTGAGTGGAGTCACGCAGTACGTCATCTCATGCCCAGCTTCCTTCACTCAGCTTCACGTTTTTAGGTTCATCTATATCGTGTGCATTGACCCATATGACCATTTTCTTGGTTGCTTTAATTCCTCACACAGCTTATCTGACTGCCAAGGGCCATGATGATGGCACGTGGAAGCTTACACACTTACGCGCCCCCCACTTCAGAAACAGCAAAATAGAGGTGGCCTTCGTAACATGCCTTGCAGCCAGCCAGCCACCTTTTTCTCCTTACTGATCTTCCTGCCGTTACCCATTGGGTGGTATCGATAGGCTAACAGTAGTTGGCATTTAATTTGTCTGCTTCAAGGCAGAGAATGTTATAAAGAAATGAAACTGGAAGAGGAAAAGGGGGTTTGTAGTGCTGTATTTTATTTCTAGGTAAAGAAATAAATAATAGCAGTGGGGAGGGGAGGAGTAGGGTCTTTCGTCTGCTACACAAGTGTCATTTCCCGGATCTAAATTGAAAAGCCATTATCTCTGAATAAAAGCAGTAAGATGGATACCTTCTTACAAGGCTAGATGATTTTTCCAAATACTTTATTATTTCTTTACACTGAACTAAAGGGAAGAAGTACTCTTGCCTCAGAGAATGGTAAATGGAATTGCTCATTTAGTTTTTAGATATCTTCTGCATCTCTTATGGTTGTATTTTGAGAAGTTGTCTGATGTGGAGAAGTTACTAGTAAGGCATGAAAATAGAGTGGTACTTAAGATTTCCACCCCCCTCCCCCTTTTACTTTTGTAGAGAAATTTTCTAGGGTCCTGGTGGAGCAGCAGCAAGACCGAGCCCGGAGAGAGCAAGAAAGGATTCGTCTCTTCTCCGCTGACCCTTTTGATCTTGAAGCTCAGGCCAAAATAGAAGAAGATATAAGGTAATGATCCGTCACTGAAGGGCAGGAGCTAGAGAATGCAGACCCCAGACTGCTGGCTGGCTGGTCTCAGTTGGGCGCCTGCTGTGAGGTGGATGCCTTATTTTGCGCTTGAGATAGTAACTTCACTCTTTATCTTATTCTCTTTTTTCCCTCACATTTTGATTCAGTATGACAAAGGTACCAGATACCTAACTTAGTGACTTTTCTCTGCTAAAACTTTAATAAAGATCCCCCGATAGCCCACAGTGGGTTCAAGCAAATCCAGGCGGATGGCCCCAGGACTGAGCAGAAGCCCCCGATTTGGTGAGACTGCTAGGCTGGTTGGAATCGGTCTTTAGACGTACTGAGCCCTGATGAAACCCAGGGCGTATGCAAGATTAGATTCAGAGAGAGCACTCCATACAGGTGCAACCTGTAGTCCTAAGTCTTTTCCCTTCCGTGGCTCTTGTCCTGGCCTCAGTGGACAGACTGGCTGCTGGCACGTTTCCGGCTCCAGCTCCCTAAAGCTGTGGTTCCCACCTGCAGTTGCATTAAAATCACATTAGAAGCTTTTCATGATGCAGGTGCTTGGGCGCCACTCCCTGAGCCGGTGAATCTGAACCAGCGGGGGTGGGGCCCAAGGAGGAACGACAACACCAGCGCTGACCTTGGTCACAGAGCTAGTCACAAACAGATGCTGTTCAGTCAGTTCTTTGGGAAAGAACAGCTGCCCTTCCCCCCCCCCCCAACGCCACCACCCCATTCCGTTTTTGTGGCTCGTTTTAATGGTTCTAACACAAGCAGGACCATACCTGTACCAGTAATACTTTGAGGGGCTTTGTCACCGTCTTTGGTTATTGTACTTACACGAGGCCTCGGTTGGTCATTGCATTATTTTACATTACATTACATTACACTACACTGCTGTCAGCTTGGAAGTCAGATAACGGTTTCTTCTTCTTCCTTTAATTCTCTGGCTGCATTTGAAATCAAAGAAATGTAAATTGTACACCAGAATCACTTGACCCCCTGAGCCTTTGACTCGTATTCTGGTTAAGTGTTCCCGTTAATTGTATCAGAATTTTTTTTTTTAAGATTTTTATTTTTTAGAGGAAGAGGTAGAGAAACATCAATGTATGGTTGCCTCTCACGCACCCCCCCACTGGGGACCTGGCCTGCAACCCAGACATGTGCCCTGGCTGGGAATCAAACTGGCGACCCTTTGCTTTGCAGTCTGGTGCTCAATCCACTAAGCCACACCAGCCAGGGCTGTATCAGAAATTTTATCAGAACTAATGAACGTATTTGAGAAACATCTCACTAGTTAAATCTACCCAGGGAAATAGAAAGATTACTTGTGTTCTCTGAACTGGACTGCACTGCAAGTATAAGAGAACCTTACATAATTCTCAAGAATAATTGGGCCCAACCCAGGAAGCAAAAGGGGTGGGAGGAAGTGTGATGAGGCAGCAGAGCCAAACCGTGGCAGGGCGCTGTTGGCAGCGTGGCGTGAGATGGGGCATGTTTGCCTGGCTCGTGTTTGTTCCCAGGGCGGGGCGGGGCAGATGGGGTGATGCATCCAGTCTCCCAACGGAGAGCACCTGGTCCCTGTGAAGGAGACCCCACAGACGGCCCAGAACTGCCCGAGTAACTGGTGTTATCTCAGGCTTTTGCTGAAACTTACCCTTGGTTGGTGTCATTGCAATGTCAGGAGTACACAACTAACTCCAGGTTATTTCTAAATTTAATAATATAGCAGAGGAGAAAAGCTGCGTAATTATATCAGGTGCCAATTCAGGTTTGATCCGGTGTGCTACACCAGCGATTACACAGGGTGTGTGTACACTGAGGTGTAATCGCTAGCACATTTGCCTAGCATAAACAAATGTGCCTTGGAGTTCTCTGAGGAGTTTAATATCTTAATACAAAGTGGCTGGAAAAAACCCCCCATCTATTCAGTTGAGCTAGATCACTAACTCAAAAAGGACAGTTTAGAGTGGGGGTCAGCAAACTTTTTCCATGAAGGGCCAGATGGTAAATATTTTAGGCTTTGCAAGCCACGCTGCGGTGCGGAACAGCCAGGCAGTGCCAGTACGTAAACGAACGGTGAAGTTTGTTTACGCCGACAGTGGGCTCTGCTCTGCCAGCCCCTGGTCTGCAGTGTCATTTATCTAAGCCCTGGGCCCTGTTCTGTTACCGTCTCAGCCTTCAGGTAAGTGGCCTGGCCCTTGCCCTATTTTCCGTTAATGTTGCTCATATTTGGTTACTTTTTTAAAAGGAGGCTGAGGATGGAGACATGAGATGCTAGAGTAAGCTGGAACTCCCTTTTTTATGCTTTTCCTTCTTTTTTAAAGATTTTACTTATTTTTAGAGAGAGGGGAAGGGGACAGGAGAAAGAGGGAGAGAAACATCAATGTGTGGTTGCCTCTCGCACGCCCTCTACTGGGGACCTGGCCCTCAACCCAGGCATGTGCCCTGACTGGGAATTGAACCAGTGACCCTTTGATTTGCAGGCCCACGCTCAGTCCGCTGAGCTATTCCAGCCAGGGCTATATGCTTTTCTAAAGTAAGACTTAGAATGTTCAATTTTTGGAGAAATTATTTGATGATCAGGTGAACAAACTATTCGTGAGTGTAGTTTTCTAAGTGATAGCTATATAAGTGGATGGACTTTTTCATTAGTGTTTTTTGAACACCTGCTTTTATGTTGGGCGTTGTATGATAATAGATACTTTCTACGTCTCAGCAGTCCGTTAACAGGATTCATTCTCATTTACAATTAGAAAACCCCGTCTTGGAGGTTAAGCAGCAGATTCAACGCAGGCAGTTAGGGCACCTGTGTATTACATTTGCAAACAGTGTTTAATACACTGGACGCAGGAAATGTACCCAGATACCCAGTAAATCCTCAGTTAAAGTGGAGCATTCATGAAATTCTGACGTTGTACATACAGGATAAAAAGGTTGTGACCCTTACTTGCCTGTTTCTGAGCATGTAAAGGAGACAAACATAGTCATTTTAGTGAGAGTAATTTGTATGCCTTTAATTTTCTGCTAACTGGATACCTCACTGCCTCCTACTAAATCATACTGCAGCATAGAGCACCAATTTCCATTTCAATGAGTCAGCTGCTACAGATGGAGCAAAAGAAAGCTATGTACACGTCTGTTTTTAATATTGTGACTTTGAAACAGATCTCTCTCTGTGGAAATAATGCCCTGAGTGTACCTGGTTTTGGTCTGTTACAGGCAACAGAACATCGAGGAAAACATGACGATAGCGATGGAAGAAGCTCCGGAAAGTTTCGGCCAAGTCGTGATGCTTTATATTAACTGCAAAGTGAACGGACATCCTGTGAAAGCCTTTGTTGACTCAGGTGACGTCTCCATCTGTCGTGCCTTTGTCTGTCCATCCAGCGTTCTGACCCAACACAGGGAGTGGGGGCCCGGGGTCTCCCGTTAAAGATGGTGTGTCCGTCTGTCCTTTGGACTGCCCGCCAACAAACCTGGGCGGGGGGCGTCTCCCTTGCCTGTCTTTTTTTGTCGGGGACAGGTTCGTCTCTTTAGTCATTTCTTCACCAGTTGCGTGTTCGCAGTGTCTCCTTTCTCTTCTGCTTCCCTCTGCTGAGTTTCTAGGGCACCCCTCGGGCACTGGGGACTCTTGGGGTTCAGACTGGGGGGCTCTCAGAAGGAGCTGTGCGGGGTGCAGGTCAGACAGACGTGTCTGCTGGGCTGTGCCATCACTCTGCCAGGCGCAGTGAGGAGTGCGGACTGTAGGTCGTGGTTCTCGCCCTGAGAGAACTTGACGGCCAGGTAGGCAGGCAGGGAGGTTTGCACTTGGGGATCCAGACAGCGCCTGTACTAACCGTCACCTTACCTCCCCGTGGCAGCGCTTTGCTGTTCGCCGCACACAGGCAGCACTGTGTGGGTGTGACGGTGGCCACGTGTCTTTATTCTGGGTACGACTTCCTAGAGCTGTAAAAGCCCCCGCTCGAGAAAGTGTCCCCCTTCTGTTCATCCACAAATACTTGAGTGTGTGCTGGGTCTCAGCCGTTGTTAGAGCATGTACTGAGATGCATGCATCCCTGGGAGAGGTGAACTGGTGATTCCTCGGCTTGGGAGAGTCTGTTGAGGGCTGCGTGCAGGGCCTTGTGCCGAGGGCTTGGGGGCAAGACTGCTAGCTCGGGCCTCATAGGGTTGCTGTGAGCTGAGCACCAGGCCATTTCATGCTGAAGCAACTACAGTGCTTGATGTGTACCACTCCATTCACTTGTACGCAGTCCCCACGACATCCCCATCAACTGTGTTGTACTCTCACCCCTGTCTTACAGATGAGGAGAGTTCGAGGGCGGGGGGAGGCCCTCTTCCGGGTATACAGAGTTCACGGGTAGTGGATTTTGGGCTCAGCCCCTGGTCTGCTTGATGCCAGGGGTCTAAACCTCTGTGGAAAGGTCAGGTGCATGTTGGATGAACCTGGAAACCACATTCTCTCTCTGACCGGGATGCTCAGGTGTGGCTTCAGACGAGAGGGCGTGGGAACCGAGCTGTCTCCGTGGGCAGGGGCAGGGGGCTTGGAGCTGAGGCTTGGGAAGGGGCAGGGGGGCGGTGAGAGGGCCCCGTTCCCATCCGTACGTCAGCAACTAGCTTTTGTGGAGGCAGGTGGGGAGGGAGGAAGGAAAACAAAAACTGCCTTCCCAGGTTCCCCTTTCATTCATTGTTTCTGGGCTGTCCGGAATCTAACCTTCCTCAAACACCGAGACCTTTCTGTGCCCGTGAAGTGTAAGGTGCCTGATGAGCACTAACGGGAAACGTTGGCGTTGAACTTGAGGAGACATGGCTGGGAAGGACAGTCTGCTGGGGAGGAGGTGGGCCTTGAGCTGAGCCTGAAAGCACCCGTGGGGTTCAGAGAGAGTGGGGGCGGGCGAAGGGAACACATTTCTCCCGGCAAAAGTGGAGGGTTTATAGCATCTGGAATACGAGGCTGGTGTCTAAGCAGGCAGCGAGCTCCCAACCACTGGGCGGCGGCTCGCAAACAACCGATGCGGGAGTGTCATCCCACGGGCTGGCTCCCACTCCTCTGGCGGGGGTACATGCCGCTGCGAGAGGCAAGGCCCCCCGCCCGCTTCCTGGAAGCGAGGAGGGTCTCATGCGTGGAATAGACCGTGGGGGGTCACTCCCAGTTTTTGGAGAGCCTGTATGGTGTATTTTTTTAACTGGTAAATTAGCGATCCCAAGTTTGGGGTAGAAATAATTTGGTGAGATGTTTAGGGAGAGACTGGAAATGCATCTGAATGTGAAGTAGCGCCTCGTGAGCTTTTCCGTCTGGACACCGTTGGACTTTCTGGAAGTCCTTTCTGGGTGGTTTTGCGTTCCCTCGGCGTCAGGTTTCTCACTGTGGTTCAGGCTGCGCTGTGGAACTGAAAGTTGAACTGAGCATGGCAGGAAACCGCTGGGTGGGAACGGTGACACAGACAAAGCCTGGGGGCGAGCTTGCTTTCTGTCCTGTTCTTAGTGCTGCGTTTTTAATTTTACCACGAGCGTGGGTTTTGTCTTCATTGTCTGGTATCTCCCTCTACCTGCAGGTGCCCAGATGACTATTATGAGCCAAGCGTGTGCGGAGAGGTGCAACATCATGAGGCTGGTGGATCGTCGGTGGGCCGGGATCGCCAAAGGCGTGGGCACCCAGAAGATCATTGGACGGGTCCACCTAGGTGAGCGGAAGGCACGGGGGTCTCTGCAGGGTCTCGGGTTTAAAGTTTTTTCTCCCGGACAGCTGCATCAGATCCAGCGAGCCTCAGCCCTAGAGATTTCAACTCTGTGTTAGAGTCATGTACGTGTGCGCACCTTTCAGCTGGAGACCAGGAAACATCGGCCCCCTGTGTACTTCGGTTTTCTGTCCCTTACAGGTGGTTCCTTTCGACTGTTGCGCAGGTGTCTGTGGGTGCCGGCCTCCACGTGTCTGGATGACGTGTTGGTGGTGCTGTTGTACCGCTAGGGCTGTGTAAGTGCTATTGGGAGCGTAGCCGTCTAATTGAAAATTAGTGTTTTCCTTTTGGAATTAATCATTTGTCCTTTTTTATTATTTAAGTCATTGGTTTTTTGTGCACTAGTCGTCACAAACACTTACCTGGTTGTGTAAATCTCCTCGGCGCATCCCATCCCGTTGCAGACGCTGCTTCCGAAGCGGGGCCCGATCGGGCTGCCCCGTGGCTGCCGTCCTGGAGTCTCCCGTGACGGGGTGTCGCGGGGTTCCTTTTTCTGGGTCTCATGTCAGACCGCGTGAACCCCTTGTCTTCCTCTTTCTATTTCACTCCTCAGTTTATTATTACTATTATTCCAGTAACTTCACCAGAGCGTGTCTTTCTTCCTCTGCGTTCCGCCAGTCTGGCTAAGTTGGAGATCATTTTCCGTCGTGGTTTTTCACAGCATGGCCGTGGAAAAGCTGGCTGCTGCTCTGACCCTTGACCCTGCGTGTGAAAGGTTTTCATTTCTGGAGGTCGAAGCATCTTTTCTTGGACCTCAGTGTTTTGGAAATTTACGGTGGTGTACTGGTAATGGACATTTTACTGGTGACATACAGGATATGGTGACCTCCTGTCCTGGACTTTGCTTCTTTCATTGCATTCCAGGGGGGGTTGGTGAGACATCCTCAGCTTTGTGTTCTGCCCTTTCCATTGTGTTTTGTGTTTTTTTGTCTTTCATGTTAGATGGTTTCCTCAAGTGTCTGGTGACCCTTGACATCGGCTCATATCGAAGAGCAGGGCACCAAAAGGCTATTTAGAAAAGATTGCTCAGGTGGACAGCCTGGGAGTTGGGAGGGAGAAAAAGACTCGCATCCCTGCAACTGCTAGCACAACCCCCTGGGTCTCGGTCAGGTGCCTGGTGGTGTGCCCATCTTCCTCCAGGCCCGCCTCTGGCACGAGAGCCTCTGTTTGACTCTCCAGCCTGCTGCTGCGGTGGCTGGGGGGTGGTGCATGCCCCGGGGAGCAGAGTGCGGGGGGCGGGCCCCCACATCAGACTGTGCCTAGTGGACCTCAGCCAGTCTCCCTGCTCGGGGCCTCCCTCTGCCCCTATTTTCATTCAGAGTCCTTGTTTCAGTCCCGTGTCAGACTCTGGGAGTTTCTGTGATGGGAATCGGACTGCCGTCCGCCTTCTAGGTCCACAGCTGTTCACTTCATCTTCCGTTACTGTTGTTCTTAGTGATTTTACCTTTACACAGAAGTTTTATTGTGATTTTTATAAGGGATAAATGGAGATGAGTATGTGTGTTTAATCCTTCATCTTTCATCCGTGTTTGTTTGTTTGTTTGTTTTTAATCTATTCCATAGAGGCTCGTTGTAGAGAATTTCAAAAGTAGTGACATGTGAAAACAAGCTAAAAATACCAGAAGTCCTTTTAAGCGAGGATCAACAATTAGTAACATTTAAACATACTTCTTTTTGGCTTTATTTCCATGCATTTTTTACGTGTAAAAGGTAGTCAGTCATATGGTATATAGAATTTTATACTCTGCTTTAAAAGAAATTAACATTTGTAATATTTTTCCCAATGTTACTATAAATTTCATAAGCATCATTTAAATAAATGAGTAACAATCCGTTGTGTAGGTCTAATGGTCAACTTTTGGGATACATTTTTTTCCCCAATATTTTGTCACTGTGACATGGTGGTAGACTTTTGTGTCCTTTCATGCACACTGACTTTTTTTTCTTGGTCAGGATTCCTGTAAGTGCTGAGTCAAGGGTTATTAACACTCGAGACTCGTGGTATTGCCAGCTGGTGTCAATTTGCCTTCTCTAGCATTGAGGGAACGTTTCGTCTCGGTGTCCCGAGGTGGGAAGGTTGATTAAAGGCCTGGGTGTGGAAGGCAGAGTCAGAGCTTCCAGAAGAAAGTACAGGAGCGCATCTTGCATAGGAAAGGGGTTCTTTCAAAGACAGGACGCAAACGATTTGGCAGATTCATCCATGTTAAGGTTAAGAACCTTTCATCCAAGGACATGATGAAAAAGTGAACAAACACAAACCGGAAAAATTTTAGTGATGTGTAACAAACAATTCCTATTCAGAATATACACACATTCTGAGTGTGTGTATATCCCCCAACTCCGTAAGAAAGACAATACAAAAAGTTTCATAAGAAGTACATAAGTACTTTGAGAGGGAACCTACATGGTTAATAAATATATGAAAAGTGGCTTCGCCTCACTATTAACCAGGGAGATGCAGAATGATTGCCAGTAATCACATGGAGTGTTGGTGAGACCGTGGAGCAGTGGGCATGTCCAGGCACTGCTGGGAACATTTCAGAAGACAGTCCAGCCTCCCCCAGCACAGCCGAGTGGAATACGCGCTAGAACCCTAGACTTCCACTTGCTAGATTGCACCTGAGAGGAACCCGAGGCAGGCACTCCAGGGGACAGGTGCGGGAGCGTTCAGTCAGCGGTGCCGTGACGGCAAGACTGGAAGCCTCCCAGAAGGCCCCGCGGCAGTGCAGCGGGCGCCTGGCTCCCAGTGGGTTAGACACTGCGGCGCCCTGCAGGGCGGTGTGAAGCCCAAGACACCGTCGTGTGCGCCTAGAGGGGTCAAGTGCCTCAGAATAATTTTGGAGTAAAAGAGCAAGCTGTGGTTCAAAAACACAAAACTAAACAGTGTATTGCGTAGAAATCATACAGAGCTGGTGAGAACTCTAAGAAATGCTGGGAGTGGTTAACACACAACCCAGGAAAGTTAGGAGGGTGGGAGGAAGCAAAGAATAAGTGGTGATCAGTAGGACATACGGAGCTTCTTAGTTTTCTGTTTCTTAAATGGGGGGAGAGATGTGTGGGTGTTTGTTTTATTATGCTTCATACAGTGTGTGTGTTTCATGCACTCCTGTTCATGAGATACACTTACGCATTAGGCAAGAGGAGTGATTGACGGAAGAGTCAAGACAGGAGACTCCAAACAAACAGGCCTTGATGCGTCTCTGGTTTGGCAAATAGAAACTTCATTATAACAGGCAGTAATAAGCAATTTGCTGTTTGGAGGCTAATTTAAAAGGTTTAGAGTGTACAGATTTGACCTGGTGGGGTAGCTGAGTTGATTAGAGCTTTATCACAATATGACAAAATTGCAAGTTCGATCCCTGGTCGGGCACATACAAGAATCAGCTAAGGCCCTGGCAGGTGTGGCTCAGTGGATTGAGTGCCAGCTGGCAAACCAACGGGTTGCAGGTTCGCTCCCCAGTCAGGGCACAGGCCTGGGTTGTGGGCCAGGTCCCCACTTGGGGATGTGTGAGAGGCAGCCACACATTGATGTTTCTTCCCCTCTCTTTCTCCTTCCCTGCCCCTCTCTCTAAAAATAAATAAAATCCTTTTTTTTTTTTTTAAGAATCAACTAATGAATGCATAAATAAGTGAAACAACAAATTAATCTTTCCCTCTCTCTAAAATCAATGAGTAAAGGTTAGGTAAAGCATACAGATTTTATTTCCCTTTTAGAAAACCTTTTGTAAATGTATAGAAGTGAGTGGTTTATTGGAAAAATTGGTCCTTCTTAAATCCACTTTACCAGCTGGTACCGGCATTGGCTTTTGAAACTGATTATTAGTCTTACAGGATTTTCTTTTTATACTTCACCTCTTTGTATGCTTGGCCTGGGTTTGGACTGATGGTGAGAAGCAGGCACAGAATGAATGATACATTTCCAAAGTTTGCGCTGGGCTTTTGAGGCAGAAATCATTAACTTCTTTCTTCTTCCTGTGCTTCAGCTCAGGTTCAGATTGAAGGCGATTTCCTGGCGTGTTCCTTCTCGATACTCGAGGAGCAGCCGATGGACATGCTTCTGGGGCTGGACATGCTGAAACGGCATCAGGTAACTGAGCTGCGCTGGCTCTCGGCCTCGGCCTTCTGTATGTTACGTGGGTGTTATCGCATCATTTCTCGTGGCTGTGTGTGCTGGGAAGCTAAGAAGGGTGACTCTTCAAACCTGGAAAGGTCCTTAACTGATGATGATGTCATACCAAGTTTGAAATTATATGTGAGTAGAAGTAGAATCTTTTGTGTAATCTCTCTGAATCTTAAATGGTACCGTCTGTTTTGAGATTAAAAAAAAGGCAGTGGTTCCCTTGTGTAAGTTCTAGTTTCTAATTAGAATTCAACTAATCTTTTGATGGGTCTGTAAGGAAGTATAGGCAACACACCATGATGGTTTTATATGAGTGTAGGTTTAGGACGCCCTTCGTAGCTGGCCAGCAATGCTTGGGGAGAAGAGCCTCAGGACTAAGGGAGGAGGCATGCATTAGATGTTGGGAGTAGGAATGTTGAATACAGGGAGAATGATTTATGACTATATTCATTTGCAGCGATATTGATCATTTCTACTCTGAGGCCTAATAATTTCTTGATAAACAATTCCCAGCCGAGAAGCAATTAGTGTCCACTGGGTAGGAAATTTTTTCACAAATTTCATATCTAGTGGACATTTTTATGTCATTAATATTTATTAAACTCCTATAAAATATATATTGCATTGAATCAAAGTACAGAATTTTGAGTAGAAGGAATGAGTTAATGCATGTATAAATAAAACCTACTTTATTGTTAGTGCCCTTCCTATATATCACTTTTTTGAGACTATATTAGTACAGTTTAAATATAAGCTATACTTACACAAATAACGAAAAGCAAGATGTGAAAGTCACTTACATGCTTATAAAAGGCAGGACCATTGATTATGTCTGGTGTTTTTCCAAATTTTGCACAATGAACATGTGTTACATTTAAATTTAGAAATGAACATACAACCCTGGCTGGTGGGGCTCAGTGTGTTGAGTTCCAGCTTGCAAACCGAAAGGTCGCTAGCTCGATGCCTGGTCAGGGCGCATGCCTGGGTTGTGGGCCAGATCCCCAGGGCGGGCATGTGGGAGGCAACTGATCAATGTATCTCTCGCACATCGATGTTTCTGTCTCTTTTTCTCTCTCCCTTTCCCTCTCACTAAAAATAATAAATAAAAATACTTTAGAAAATTAAAGAAATGAACGTACATTGTGTTAGACAGTTAAGTGGGAACTATCATATAGAAATTATTCTGATACAAACTTTCGATGTTAAACAAATGGTCCCTGTCTGGTATAGCTCAGCAGATTGAGCACAGTCCTGTGAACCAAAGGGTTGCCGGTTCGATTCCCAGTCAGGGCACATGCCTGGGTTGTCGGCCAGGTGCCCAGTGAGGGGTGCACGAGAGGCAACCACACGTTGATGTTTCTCTCCTCTCCTTTTCTTCCTCTCTAAAAATAAATACAAATTTTTATTTTAAAAATGTTAAACAAATGCTATATTAATGTCACCTAGGTTAAAGTATAAATTATTTTAGGTTAAGTTGTTTTGAACTGTCTCTGTCAGAGTCGCTCTTTGTGAATGAAGCTCTACATTGAGGATCATAATTGTTCTGCACGCTGTTTTATCTGCTGTCATCGGTCTTTGGTTTCTTCCTTCTCAGTGCTCCATTGACCTCAAGAAAAACGTCCTCGTGATTGGCACCACGGGCTCGCAGACCACCTTCCTCCCCGAGGGGGAGTTACCGGAGTGTGCCCGGTTGGCCTATGGGGCCGGGCGAGAGGAGATGAGGCCAGAAGAGATTGCAGACCGAGAACTAGCAGAAGCCCTTCAGAAATCCATACAGGATGCAGGTACGTGCAGTGGCTGGGCGCTTGAGTAGCTGCAAGCGTTAGAGGGGGCAGGGACTTTACTGGCTCGTAATCAGTCTCGTCGTCCCGTCAGACGTGTTCTGTCCTCTTCCCGCCCCCTTCCGTCTCTGAGCACAGCGGAGGAAGCTTGGGGTCCCAGCAGGTCGGGACGCGGCGGTCCGTGGCCGTGTGCGGGGCAGGCTGGGGAGTTGTTTCCCCAGGCGCGTTTTGGTAGGCTTCCTGAACATCTTGTCCTTTTTTCCCCCTAAAGAAAATTATAACTGTAAGCAGATACTTCCTTTTGGGTTCAACAGTGTTGCCCTGAAAATGCCCTTCCCTTTTTGTGGGTCCCCTTGTTTCGAAGAGGAGTGTTGTCCCTGTGACGAAGCAGCCCGAACATTGTTAGTGTCTGCTGAAAGTGCTGCCACCGACGACAGGGGCACCGTGATCGATACAGTGTCTGTGCTGTTGATGAGGTCGCAGTACTGTGTCATTGGGCCAACTTACAAGAGTACGTGAGCTATTGAAATGGAGCTGCCTAATACTTTTTGTCCTAAATCTGAATTGTAGCTTATTTCCATCTGAAGTCCAAGTCAAGTTTCTGGGTAAAATGCAGGGGCGTGGTTTTGCTGAAATCCCGCTTCCGTGGGACCTCCACTGTTTCCCTGTCGGTTACAGAACAATGAGCCTGGGGTGCATTTCCTAGAAATGGAAGAAGATTAACTTTTAAGTTTGGGTTATTTTAAAGTCTTGAGCTATAATTACTCATCAGTGACTAATACCGCATGTTGAATTTTCTGACACAATAAGGTGGATTGGAACTACAAGTTCAGGCAATAGCTTTCTCTTAAAGACAGAAAAAATCATAAGAGCTTTAAAAATAAGCGTCCAGATTATGCCCGTGTTTATTACCAGGGAATGTCCAGTGGGTCGGCCCTGAACCCCCTCAGGGCCGGCGTGCGCAGCGGAAGGAGGGTGCCAGGCTGCCCTTGTCCCCCATCCCCTCCTCCCCCGTCTGGTGGCTGAGTGTCACACCTGAAGTGTGACTTACGCAGTTTGTAGGAAGGGGAGAATTTTGATCATCCAGACAGAGAATGAATTCATAGTTTCAATCTTCCCTGAAAGGCAAGCTTGAATGAGTTTGACATACCTACTTAGAAGGTTTTTATATTTTCTTAGTAACTTGTCAGCTTAGTTGTAATACTGTGTATTTAGTAATAAAATAGGATATATTATCATTTTGTGAAACCTCCATCTCCCCCATCCCCCACCCCACCCCCCCTCACCCCCCAGTTTTGGTGCTTTCTTTTTAAGAAGCACTAGCTGGTGGGAGCAGTAGTGCCTTCTAAACTAATAGTGGTCACTCTCTCAGGGTAACTGCCGTCTATTTGAAAAGTATAGAAGATTAAAATAGAAACCTCAGGTGTTTTTAGGCATAGTGAAGGAGATGTACCAATTTTAAAAGATTAAAAAGAGGAAATGGCTCTTCACACGTGTGACCGTGTGTTACTGATGTCGTTTTGGCTGTGCTGACTCTTGTAGTGTTTGAATAACAAAGTAGTAATTCTGCAGCATCGGGCTCTGTTGGTTTGGGACATTGGCTTCCCAGTATCATCAAAATCAAAACTCTGGACATTGTAACTGAGAGTATTTTTGCTATAAAAAATGTTTCTTTGGTAGCTACTCTATACCAAAGTATCTTTGTCTTCTCTATCCATTGAAAAGTAATTCAGAATAGGAGCCGTATCTGGTGATTCTAAAAACGGATTAAAAGATAAAGAGGTCAAGCCAGGAAAGATAATCAGGTTCAGTTGTATTTCTTCTAAAAATAAATCTCAGCTGAGAAAGAAACGTGGAAAGTGAGGCTTACGCGTGTTCACCCCCCCCCAGTCCACACGAAGTGTCCGCGTCACGTGGTCCATCCCCCCACCTGTCTCACGTGTTTGCCCATGAGTTCTCTGTCTGTGAAATTAATTTCGTTCCCAGTTCTATTAAAAAACCTGTTAAAGTTAACACATAACTTTGTGTATTATGAGAGAGTTAAAGCAACCAGCAAACCTTTTGATGTTCAAACTACGGAAACATCCCCCAGCTTTGCCTCTGCCAGTTCCCGATGTTAAAGATGGCAAAGGAGTGGAGACTGTAACCCTGCATGCTGTGTGGTTTGCATTGTTAACCCGAGTTTGCTTGTCTGTTTCCTAATTCAAACAGAGCGTCAGAAGCCATGATGCATGTAGTGTGTGTGTGCTGCAGCTGGAGTGGGCCCCAGACCAGGTATTTATAGACTCCGCCTTCGGCCTCCATGCAGTCCTCGTCTGTGGTCTGTGTCTGCAGCACTTTCGGAGCTCGCATCCAGCATCCGCCATTCCACCTCGCTTGATCTGGTTACAACCAGCCTGTATACATGTGTGTATGTTGGCATACATCTGCAAACCCAAGCATAGTTCCCTGCTTAAACATTTATCAGTTATTGGAACGGCCCAGTAAAAACGGTCCATCTGGCCTTTGTGAATACGAGCTCGAGAATGTCAGCGTCACAGCTGGTCGCTGTTGGAGATGACTGGGCCGTTAGGGACTTCACAAGTCCCTTCCGAGAAACTGCACAGAACTGCCTAGAGTCACGGAGGAGCAGAGACTTTCACGCTGTTGAAGGAAAAATGGAAACAGGCCAGGTGACTTGTCCAGGGTCACAGAGTCAGTAGGAAAGGCAGGACTAAAGTTTTATTGTCTCAGCAACAACAGCTGAGACTGCTTCTGTCTCTCCCCGTCCTGACCGATCTCCCCACTCTGCTTCTGTTCCCTGGCAGCGCGAGTGTGGTTGCGGTCAGCCTGCGTGTGCTGGCTGACGCACCCAGGGGAAGAAAAGTGGTCTCTCCAACTGTCAGCCTAGGACTTTATAGGGGTTTGCAGGCTGGTTGTAATTAGATGCCTAGAACTTAATTTCTTCTTTCTTTTTCTTGTAAGGATGTGTTGAAAGCAGGCATCGTTTAATTATTCTTACTATCCATTGTCCTCATCGTCTTCTCCTACCCTATGGTACTGACCCAGTCCTCCCCTGCATTTAGGACTTAGGCCAGTGACACTGACCATCTCAGCTGCAGGAGGACTATGTGCTGCTTTCATAGTGAGTACAAAATCCATTCAGGCCATGTCCACCTTGGCCTCACCCAGTTGTTACAACTGTCACACAGTTGCCAGAAGGCCGTTATCATACTACAGCCCCCCTTCCCCTGCTGCTCACATGACAGCTTCACTGCAGCGTGTCTTTTCTGTTCACAGTAACTCAGTATTGAGTCTTTTTTCAGATTCAGCCTTAGAGATTGTCAAATAAAACTAATCACTGTGTTTTTAGATTGTAATGGATATAGTTTGCAGTGAGAGAATGCTGCTTTCCTGTTTACCCAGAAACTATAAGTAAAATCATTTCATAAGAAGTCAGTAACCTCCTAGCACAGCTTTATCTTCTCATGCTGTTAACTAGCATTGGATTAGAAGGATCTAGAGCCATTTGAATTGTAACTACGATGCTAGATGCTAATGGCTTCTAAAGTCAAGGTCAAGCCCCCCCCCCAGTTGGAGGCTAACATACAGCCTGAAGCACCTGAGTTACATCTGCCCTCATAGATCTGAATTGTGAAATCCTTGCTGTTACCAGCCTTTGACTTTTAAAGATCTTACAGTAATTGCATAGAGGTCAGGTTTTGTGGGTTTTTTAAAAACATATTTATTGATTTTTAGACAGAAAGAGAGGGAGAAAGAAAGAATCATCAATGCGAGAGAAAAACATCAGCCCCAGCTAGTGTGGCTCAGTGGATGAAGTGCCGGCTTGCGAACCAAAGGGTCGGTCGGTCGCTGGTTCGATTCCCAGTCAGGGCCCATGCCTGGGTTGTGGGTCAGGCCTGCAGTAGGGGGTGTGTGAGAGGCAGCCACACACTGATGTTTCTCCCCCTCTCTTTCTCCTTCCCTTCCCCCTCTCTAAAAATATATAAGTAATAAAAAAATTTTTTTACGTGAAAAGAAAGAAACATCAATTGGTTACCTCCCATACACATCCCTACTGGGAATCGATCCCCCAAACCTTCTGGCGTATGGGACAATGCTCCAACCAATTAAGCCCCACTAGCCAGAGCCATAGAGATCAGGTTTTAACTGGATCAGTGGCAAAAGGAGAGTTAGGACTGGTGTTTAATGACATGATGGTTACAGTGAGTTCATGTTTCACCCTGCTGTCTTGTGTGACTGATCAGAAAGTGGCAATGGGTGGAAATCATCATTGCCCAACAAAAAGTGACCTCCCTCCACGGCCCAAACTGGGCCCCCCTCCCCCCCGCCCATTGCCCTGCCCTTAAAGTACTTAACTGGTCCTACTTAATTGTACAATGTTAGTGTGATAAAGTAACTGATAATCTTTTTAAAGTTACATTATTTGATAAAACGATGCCTGGAACTTGGTCTGCTTGCTCTTTAGCTTTACTCTTGCTCTCCAAGTCAGTGCTCACATAGTTTCACCATTATTTTTGGAAGTTTGGGGAGAAATAAATAGCATATTTACTTCTCTGGCTTCTGCGGATCCCCAAGCATAACATTCTTCCTTCTCTTTACGGTTCCTGCTCTGTCCCAGATGCACCTGGTTCCAGATGTCTCCTTTACAACCCCAGCCTTCACGCTTGAAACACTGAAAGTGCATTGGCAGGAGAGTCATTCGAGTGCAGAAAGCTTCAGAATTCCTAATGCACCTGAGAATCACCCGAGAAGCTTACTGCAAATGCAGGTGCTAGGTTTAGTGCCAAGGCCGGTGTCCCAGAATCTGTGCACTCAGCAGACACCCCAGGCGATGGCGGGGGAAGCAGCGGAGAGAGCACACACTGGGGAGGCCGGTCCAGGGTTCCGAACTCACCGAGAGCAGAGATGCACGAATGTCCCCCAGTCCTGAGTGCTAACCCCGACGTTCCGTGGGCGTTCATTAATGATACATAAACTAGTGAATGACAACAATGCCTGTCTTGTTAAGAACATGCCTGCCTCTTACTTTGATGCTGTGATGTTAAATTGTCTACCACAGTGGGAACGATTCTTGTGTAAGTCTATGACTATAAGCAAACCCAAGTGTAAGGACCTGATTTAGTTCTATCCTGTTTAGATTTGTGTCCTCTCATAATGTAGTGGCCTTTATAACCTGCAAATCTCTCTTCCTTTCCCTTTTGTTCCGTATAGAGAAAAGCGGTGAAGAAACTACCTCACTGGGAATGCCATCGTTACCAAGTTCAGACGGGTGTGACCATCCAGCCCGCCCCTCAGGGCAGAGTCCTGAGGTCGGTCATCCTGCGGGTCTTGCTCATTCTGTCTCTGCTTCAGTCTGCCCTGTCAAGCCCAATGACCCGGACAGCATCGAACCTGACGCTGGGAAGGCCCCGAATTCTGCTGAATTCCAGAGAGCCTCTGGAAAGAAAGAGCATCTCCCCCCCCAGGACCTTGCTGGTCGTGCTCCTTCAGCAGAGAGTGCTCTGGCAGCCCAGAGTCCAGCCACGCATGTGCAGAACTCACCCGGAGAAACCCCTGTCGCAGGTCATCTGGAGAAGTCTCCTGCTGAAAGAAGCACTCGGAGTCTCCAGTCTCATCTCCACACGAGACAGGAAGTATCTGTCACAACTACTGGGGTGCAAGAGACACAGAGGTTTCGGGGTGAAGAAGGCTGGCACCCAGCATGTCAGGATCCGAGTCGAGCGGCTGGCCTGCACGAGCAACTGGGGAACGAGCAGCATGAGGTTGTGCCACGGAACGTGCCCCATGGCCAAGAACGTCTTTGTATCACAGGGGACCTTGAACTTCTCGGGGGAAGGCAACAGAATCGACCAGAAGGTGTTGATGCAGAAGCTGCAATGAAAGGGGACGGGCTGCAGCAGAACGCAGACCTCCCGTGCGTGCGGAGAGACAGCCTGCCTTCGGAACGCTGCGACTGCCCCGACTCGGACACGCTCATGGAGGTGGACACGGCTGAACAGGCCCCGGTTGCTGCGCTCGGCTCAGCAGGTGGTCAGGATGCCGATGTCAAGAACATCCGTGCATCTGAGACCACCCTGGATAACCCCTCAATGGAAGTGGAAACATCAAGATGTAGTAACACTTCCTCTGAAATGTTGAGTGATTCCATTTCCACTCAGAATTTACGGTTCCCAGGACGCAGTGTGGAAATGTCTGGAATAAAGAAGGAATGCGGGAGCTGCTCCCCCTCGGTAAGTCGGTGCGGCAGCTGTCAGCCCTGTGTGGAGGCGGCGGAGGGGCCTTGCTCGTCCATAACAGCAGCCCTGAAGGAGCTCCACGGACTTCTGGTCACCAGTAGTAAACCAGCTTCAGATAACACCTCTGAAGAAGTTAACTGTCAGTCCAAAACAGTCACTGAGGGCCAAACAGGTTTTGGGATCTTTTCCGAAAGATGGACCCAAAATGAGCAGCTCACAGCCACCCAGAGTGAGCAGTGTTCCCAGGTCTCCTTCCATCAGGCCGTATCCGCATCCGTGAAGACAGAGACATTCACAGACACTTCGACTGGCTCTGGGATGGAAGATGCAGAAAGTACTAACTTCAGGGGTCCAGGTGATGGCCTGTTAGCCGATAAGAAAGGTGTCCCCGAGGCTAGGGAACCGGTGAGTGAGAGCAGTTCCGTCACCCTAGCCTCAGATACAACCTCTAATCAGTTACACTGCACCTTAGGTGTAGAAATTTCACCCAGACTCTTAGCAGGTGAGGAGGGTGCACTCAGTCAGACTCCGGAGCAAACGAAGTCCTTGTCGTCAGACTTCATCCTGGTGAAAGATGCGGGTCCGGGCACACAGAACCCGGTGGCAGACAGGCCGGAGACCAGAGAAGAGGTCTGTCCCGAAGCCACAGGGCCACTTCGTGAATTCGAGCCACCTACCAGCTACCCATCATCAAGCCCCTCCATTCTCCCACCATTCGTTTTTCCTGCTGCCGACATTGACCGGATCCTCCGTGCCGGCTTTACTTTGCAGGAAGCTCTTGGGGCTTTGCATCGAGTCGATGGAAATGCAGACCTTGCACTTCTTATTTTGCTAGCAAAGAACATTGTAGTTCCTACGTAACCATGGAAAAGTGGGCTAGACCATACTCCATTCCCTAAAAAAAAAAAGCTATATACACACACACTCTCCCCACATATGCAGTATATGTAGAAACCTGCGAGCAGAATGTTGAGCCAGATTTTTTTTAAAGATTTTTTTCAGCCAAAGTAATTTATGATCTCTTGTCTGATGATTTTGTCTATTCTATTTGTTAAAATTTGGGCCTTTTTAAATGTACTGGCAGTATGTGCATACGAAAGCTTTTTATTCTCATTAAGATGATGTATTCTGGAATAAAACCGATGATTTTGTGTACAGCACACCCTTTAGAATGAGAGTGAGTGCTTGGAGAAGGAGGAGCCCAGAGAAACCCCACCGTCCGTGCAGCTGGGGGCAGACCGGCCTCACAGGGAGGCTGCGTCTGCGCCGGAGGCAGGTAATGGCTCATCGGTTCAATTGTCACTTTATAAACTTGACCACATGGTCCAGGTGTTCAGAATTCTCCTCAGTGCTCTGAGTACCATGAGTCATCAGGTACTCATGGTACTGATAACATCAGTTATAATAAGACATTGAAGGATAATTGAACAGTAGCTCCTAGCGTGGTACGTTACGATTCGTGTGGTCAGGGTTTGACATTTTAAAGGGATGAATCAGGAGGATTTAAAACTTGGGTTCCTTTGTACATCACAGGCGGCTGCATGGATTGCCACGCAGCGTGGATGGGGTGTTGTGGGGTAACTAACATAAGAGTGAAACATGGTGCTACCCAGATTTTGAAAAAAATCCTGCAATTCCGTCTAAAAATGTGGTGATGTTTCAAGAACTGTGAGTGAAAAATAATGACCCAGACCTTGGAATTTTCCAGCGCTGGGGGTTGCTGGCATCTCACTCATCACACCTCAGCCCTTAGTGACAAGCGGAGATCTGAGGTTCAGCTGATGGGTTGGTTGTCGGCAGTTCGTTTCCTTTCTAAGCTCAGCTTCTGCCAGGGAGGCCTCCTGAGGCTCAGTCCGAGCCGTAATCTCAGTGAAATCGTGACGTGTGAACCTTGTGGCTGGTTCATCTTGGTGCTTAGAGTGTTCTCTCTGTCCAGTGGGTATGCTCCGTGGCCGTGGAAATAGTCATCGCAGTTTCGGACTCAAGTGGCCTTGGTCGTGTATTCCATCCCTTTTCTTTCCTCAGGAGTTTTTTTTTAAGCACGATTTGTCATATTTGTGTTTACCATGTCGACTTAGAGTGGGGCATAGTGTACTGATGTCCTTACTGTGGCCTTTTTAAATATGAGGACTCGCCCTCGGAAGTCGTGGTCCTGTGGGCCCCACTGTGCAATAATCCCAGGGGACAGAGTTCCCAGCGTCTCCCGCCCCGGGGTGGGGGTTGGGGGGGCTGCCTCCTTATGTCCCTAGCAGGAAACTTTGGTTTTTATTGAAAAGAATTTTGAGCATGATAATTCTCAGTCCCAGCTTGCAGTGTATCTGAAACAGAACCTTTGAAACAGCGATTTATGAGCTTAGTGTTAAATGATTTTGTCCTAAAGTCTGACTCTCTCTGAAAGCTTAACTTCCATCAGAATTGACATCCCTAATCACAGTCAGAATGGAGGCTCGAGTCTCCGGAGTTTCTGAAATTTCAGTTTGGGGCTAGTTAAAGGCATTCCGCTTCCGCCCTAGCCCCTCTCTCTTTCGGCTCCGATACTTGTGCCTGTGTTGGGAGACTTGTGTGATGTGATGGAAAGTCCCCTGGATTCTTCATGACCCTCTGGGGTCGGGAAACAGTTGGCAGGAGTTGGACTTGGCCGTTCCCGAGACAGCGCCCAGAACAGCGAGCGGGTCAGCCGGATTGTCTTTAAAATGTTCTAGACGAGCACACGCGGCAGACCCTTTTGCCGGCCCTACGCCAAAGACGGCAGATGCACTAGGAAACCGCTCAGAGGGCTCGGTCAGCCGGCTCGGAGGGCTGTCCGTCACAGAGTAGGCGGTGCTGTCTGGTCGGAACAAAATCTAAGAGTGGCCATGCAGTGCGCCCCCGCATTCGCTTTATGGGCAGTGACTGGGGATTTATTCGAAGCTTATAAATCTTTAGGGCCGTGGGGGGGTGGGGGCTTACCAATAATGAGATGACTCCCAAAAGTCCTTCTGTGTGAAGGTGGGCCTCCTGGCTTTCTGTGAGCCGGTGGCACACACCATGGGAGCCTCGGCCACCGGCGTTTCAGCGTGTAGACGGGAATGGGTCCCAAGGGGGGAATATGGACTACCGGCCCGGAAGAGCCTTCCTTGCAGTGATGTCATGTGTGCGTATTTCTTTTCAGCGGGAAACGGATCGGGCCTATAGGTGTGCATGAGTTCTTGTTAGGAGTACTTGGAGTTTAACCTACTTGCCAGATACCGTTGTCCTTTTTCATCCTTTATTTTCCAGTATATGATTGCTTTTTATCTTTAAGATCTTATTTCCTGTCCATCGTTTGTGTGAAAGTCAAGTTGTTGACATTGTCAGGGTTTTGCGTCGTCTGTAAATGCAGCAGGTCTGGGACACAAAGGGAATGAAAGAACAGGACGCTAGGCAGCCTTCACTACCAGCTTTTAGTCCAGGTGTAGAAACCAGAGACTAACTTCTCCAAGAATAAGGTGACGTCGTGAACTCCTCTGGCTGCCAGCAGTGCTGGTAACAGCCATTCTAACCAGTAATGATTGGGCCACTTTCCTGGACAGCTCTCTGGTTAGCGGTTACCTCCAAGGGCGGTCTCAGTGTGTTCACCAAAGAAAGAAGATTTTTGTGCATGACCTCTGCATTTTCCCTTAAGTTGGTTCCTGTGTGCAAGAAAGTGCTGCTAACCAGACACTGACATCCGGGTTGTAGGTGTCGCCCGCTGGAGGCATGATCTGCACTTGCACCTGCTGCGGCCCCCAGGCGTCCGGCCGCAGCCTTCACCCCGCAGTGTGGGCCTTAGCCGTGAACACAGAGGCGACCAGTTGCTGGGCAGAGGGAACTGGGTAGATGGTGAGGGTGCGTTAAACCAATTTGCTTGCGGCCTACCCCACGTGTTTCTTCCCAAAGCACTTCTCCAGCGAGAAGGTTGCATAAAAATGGACAGATAACATGAGGCTTTGTGTCACTGATGTTATAACCATTTCAAGTGGAATCTGCCTGTTCTTTTCTTATCAACTTCTATCTCTCATAAAAGCCATAAAAATTGAGTTGGTTTAACCACCAGCTGTCATGTATATATTATAGACGTGTGACTGGTGAGTATGCTCCAGTTAGCGTTGTGTGGGTTAAAAAGCAATTTTCGTATCTGCAGGTACAGCCTTCACTTGGGGCTCTAATCTCACCGTGTACATTAAAAAACCAGCTTTGCCGATAACTGGCCGGGAGAATCACAGTGCTTTCCGATTTCCTGTTCTTGCCTGTGTGACACCCTCCCTGAGGGCAAATAGGATCATTGCGCATTACCTGCCCCAGAGTCGTTACCGCTGGTAACGCGTCATAAGAGAAACCAGTTGGCTTACGAGTCCTGCCACCGTCTAGCGCAGATACCGAAAAGCCAGGTTTCTGCTTGGACTTGGGGGACTTAGTGTACTCGGGCCGAACTAGAAAGAAACAGGTTCCCTTCTTTGAAAATGAGTATTATGTCAGGAGTTCCACAAGATAAAAAGCTTTTTCTCTGGAAGAATTTAAAATGCCAATTCCTCTTAACGAAGTAAATTCAGAGCATGTCCTTGAGAACTGGGAGTGTAGAATCACAGCTCAACTTCCGTGCCCTGGTGGTCCCTCGGTGGGTGAACTCACTGGGCATTCATTGAGTCAACTGAGTAGTTTAGGGGTGGACCTTCGATGGGCTTGGCTTTCTCTTGTGCCTTAGTCTCTCCAAATAGCAGAGGCATCACATTTTGGTGGGAACTGAAAATGGAAGTGGGGGGGGCGTGCATGGAGAGCAGCCCCCCTGAAGATCGTGGGCACGCATCGGGCGGTCCTGAGGCTCACCTTTATTGCCCATTCACAATTGTCCCACATCGAGTCACTTGGTGGAACTAGAGGGAGGGGGGTTTGCAGGGTGGGAGTACAGGTAAATGGAAGATAATCCTCAACGTGCACCAGTGACGGTCAACTTTTCCTTCCATCAGGCCCCCCTCCCATGCAGGGTGGAGGTACGGAGTGTGAGGTGGGCTGGATGAGGGGCAGCGTCTATAAGAATTCAGTACTCTAGTGAATCTTGCTACGGGACAGCTCCATCAAAAGGACTTTGTTTAAAAATATTTCTTTTTATTTTTAGAGAGGGGAACGGGGGGAGAAAGAGCAAGAGAAACATCCGTGCGTGGTTGCCTCTCACATAGCCTCCACTGGAGACCTGGCCTGCAACGCAGGCGTGTGCTCTTGATTGGGAATCAAACCGGTGACCTATGCTCAATCCGCTGGCCTACACCAGCTGGGGCAAAGGGACAATTCTTTAACCCGTCATTCAAAATGTCATGTAATGTAATCTTGAAGCATACAGGGAGAATTTCTGGCTTTAGTAACTTGGGAGGTTTACAGTGAGCTTTGTGTTTGGTGATTGGTAACCTCCACCCTCTGGGGGCTCGAAGGTGCAGGATATAGCTGAGGTTTTAGGGCACGGGCTGGTGGGATAAAATCTGTAGGGGAAATGGTTCGAGGGTGTAGGAGTTAGAGCATATTTCTTTGACCTAAAACATCAGAGCAAACTACAGAAGACCTGGAGTGGAGCTGTGGAACACAAACTCAGAAGGGTTTTTACAGAACTGTATCTCTTTAAGTAGGTACCATAAGGTTTTCATTAGCTGACGAGGACGGGGCATGCTGGGATGTTTTCCTGGGAAATGTGTGTCTGATGGGAAATGAGGCTGATTACCGGGAGCGTGTTTTGCACAGCCTTGAACGAATGCATCTGTGGCTTAAAGAAAAAGGCCTCCTAACGTCCTGCCAGGGGCAGGCAGGTCGGTTTCTTTCTCAATTCCTTTGGTCTGAGGTTACCCGATGCTGTCCAGACATCTTGTTCCTTCTCCGAAGGCTCCGCGAGGCTGAGTCTGTGCCACCCGAGACCTCTCTCCGGGTAATGACTATATTTCCACTCTGTTCTCTCCGTCATTCTCTTGAGATAGTTCTGGTGATAGAGCAACTTGACATGCTAATTGCATTTGCTTTTTTTTTTTTCACTGTGTACTGACGATGAAAGTTATTTTGCTCATTTTAATTGAAAATCCCATCTTCATGGCAAGTTGGGCCAATGGCCTTTGCACTCAAGTAAGGTTTGTTTACTCGAATTATAGCCATATTTGGCAAATCTTAACAAATAGAAACTGCT